TATATATATATATATATATATATATATATATATATATATACTTTAAACTAGAAAAAGGAGAAATAACTACTTGAGAAGAAAAACTTACAAGTTATGAAAGAATAGAGAGGAGGAGCCTTAATGACTTGGAGCAGGCAGGCATTCATAGTCTGATCTGTATCAGCTGTGTTTTACTGAACAGCACAGTGGAAGACTTGGACAGAAGCCAAGAGATGGAAAATAAATCAAGGTAGATACCAGGCGGGACATGTCTTGCTTTTCTCATAACCAACAAAACTCTGTTGGAAACATTTTCTATGTATATGTTGATCTTAATAGCAAGAAATTCCTTGTATTCTGTTCAGTGCATTGCATGCTGATGTGTCAGTGTAATTTGAGTCCTGCCAGTATTTCCTTGTTGATTCTGTTGATCACAATGAAGGGTGGGCCCATGCCCAGCAGTAGACGGCCAACATAGAATGAGAATCCAACAACATTATTGCATGATATTGCTTAGTGTGAGCATATTTCCTTCTTCACTGGTCTTTTGTCTGTTTGTATGTATTTTGTGTTTTTAAACAGTTTCAGGTGTGTGTGAGTTGCTTTTTTTTAAAATTCTGTTCTGTTTGGGTTTTCTTTGTTTGCCTCTTTGATTTCTAAAAAGAGACAAAAAGAAAGAGCATGGAGTTGAGTGAGTGAGAAGGTCTGGAAGCTCTTGAAAATGATGTAGGAGAAGAGAAAATGATCAGAATATACTGTTGAAAAAATTTCAATAAAGAGTCAAAAAATCTTGCTAGGATTCTACAAGGTTCTACTTAACCCACTGGAGCTATTAGTTCTCACTCAGTGTTCTACATTTATGAATTCCTCTTCCTCACACATCTTCCCCCAAGCTCTTCATATGAGAAGAGTTATATTAGAAATAGAGTGTCCTGGGCTCTAATCATTGTTCTCCACAATTGTGCAGTGGAGGTGGGTGGAGTTTCTTGTTCAGATGAAAGAGGAAGCTCAGTGATTAGGAGAGAACTCTTGTGTGTAAGCACAAGTGTGTCTGGGCACAAGACTTGACACCATCACAGCTGGAGAGAAGACACCTCAGCAATTGGACAGGGGCCATGGAGAGGAAACTGGGAGCTGTGCTGGGGATTCTGTGGGTGTGGATTTGCTGTGAGTTGTGCTTACCTAAGGTGCTTTAGAGATTCTGCAAAGATGTCAGTGGTGAAGGGGGAATGACCCAAAACAGAGCCCCTGTGCAGTCAGTCATTCTCTTTGTGTCTTCTGGGATATTTGATAAAACCCTTCATTAATTCTGAATTACTTCTCTGTTTCCAAGCAGGGGTGAGAGGAGGTGAGGTGGAGCAGAGTCCTTCAGCCCTGAGTCTCCATGAGGGAACCAGCTCTGTTCTCACATGCAACTTTTCTAAAACCATGAGAAATGTGCAGTGGTTCCAGCAGAATTCCAGTGGAAGCCTCACCAATCTTTTCAACCTGACTCCAGGAACAAAACAGAATGGGAGGTTAAACTCAACCTTCAACTCTAAGGAGCGCAAGAGCACCCTGCACATCAGAGATGCCCAGCTGGAGGACTCTGGCACCTATTTCTGTGCAGCAGACGCACAGTGCTTCCAGCAAGCCTGCAGGCTGGCCCCAAACTGTGGCTGGGTGTGCAGCTTACAGTCCTGCCAAAGGCAGACTCTGCAGGAGAATTTGCACAGCTGTGGCTTTATCAGATTTCCACCAACTACAAAGAAGGAGTGAGGAAACAGAAAATTACCACTGCAGGAGTTCACACTTAAACTCAGACAGATGTGACACTGACTGGTAGAAGGATAAAAGCTCAGAAACATCAGCCCACATGAATAAAATCTCTTTTATCAAAAGTTTGTGCTAATGTCATTAAATATCAACCCTGCTTTCACACTCCAGAATCATTTTGGTCATTTCTCAAAACTGGAAACTGAGAACAACTATTTTCATCCTGTGTTTAGAGAATGTGGGACAACAGTTTCCACTAATCTAGCAAATACGAAGTTGATAAAAGAATTAATTTTGAAGATCTTATAAATAAAGTGGTAGAAAGGCACAACAAACAAATCTTTTAATTCTATTTTAATTTAAGAACTATCTTTTCTCATTTTACATACTAATCCCAGTTCCTACTCCCTCCCCTCCTCCTATACCCTCCTTCTTTGCGCCCCCACTCAACCTCCCATTCACTCTTCAGAGGAGTTAAGGCTTCCATTCACTCTTCAGAGGAGTTAAGGCTTCTCACAGGGTTGTAGAGATGGCTCAGGGGTTAAGAGCACTAACTGCTTTTTCAGAGATCCTGAGTTCAGTTCCTAAAGACTGCATGCTGGCTCACAACTATCTGTAATGAGATCTGGTGCCCTCTTCTGGCCTGCAAGCATACATGCCGGCAGAACACTGAATATTAACAAGTAAACAAATATTATTTTTTATTTTTATTACTTTATAAATAATACCTGTAGGGCCCAGTCTACCCTTGCTCCTTCGGGTGAATATTGAGGATGGTTTCTGGCCCGCCAGCTAAGCATCCTGTTTGCTTCTGTGCTCCCTCTGCCCTAGCCTGGTGATTAGCTGAAGGGCATTGTTTCATCTTTGGTATGGTAATTTCCCACCTTCCTGGGAGGAAATCCTTGTACAGCAGCCAGATTTCCCCCTGCCTGGGAGGTAATCCTTTTGCAGAAGCCAAAGTATATTTAGTTTTGCACAAAGCTGAATAAAGCGGCATTCGGCTGATCTCCTTTCAAATGACCCAGGTCTCTTGTGTGTTCCTTTCAATCTCCACGCCCTTGCCCAACTCGCATAAGGTACAGTGGCACACAAACTGTGCTGAGAGGGTAACGCAGAATCGGGTGTTACAAATACCATTCAAAATTTTCACTTGCCTACCTCCTCCCGCCACCCTCCCACTCCCCCCTTACCCTCCCCTCTTAACCCTCCAGTCCTAAGAGAGAGCTGGGTACCCTGCCCTGTGGGAAGACCAAACACCACCCCCTCCATTCAGGCTGAGAAAGGTATGCATCCAAATAGCATAGGATCCCAAAAACCTAGTACATGCTATAGAGACAAATCCCAGTGCCCTTAATCATTGGCTCCTCAGTCTCTCAGTCTGCCCCAATTGTCAGCCACATTCAGAGAGTCCAGTTTGATCCCATCCCAGTCCAACTGGATTTGGTGAGCTCCCATTAGCTCAGGCACACTGTCTCAGTGGGTGGACCAGCACCTGGTGGTTCTGACTTCATTGGTCATATTCTTCCTCCTTCTGCTCTTCAACTGGACCTTGGGAGTTCAGTCCAGTGCTAGGATGTGAGTCTCTGTCTCTATCTCCATCTGTTGCCAGATGAAAGTTCTATGGTGATATTCAAGGTAGTTATCAGTCTGACTCCAGGACAAGGCCAGTTCAGGCACCCTCTCCTCCACTGCCCAAGGTCCTAGCTGGGGTCATGGCTGTGGACATCTGGGAACCCCTCTAGAGCCAAGCCTATTGTCAAGCACAAAATGGCTCGCTTAATTAAGATATCTACTTCCCTACTCCCATATCCATCCTTCGTCCATCTCAACTATCCCACTACCCCAAGCTTGCTCCAACCCTTCCCTTCTCTCTTTTCTCTCCCTCTCTCCCCTTCCCCACACTCTACCCCCACTCCTATGCTCCAAACTTTTGCCTGGCAATCTTGTCTGCTTTCAATTTCCAGGAGGATCTATATATGTTTTTTCTTTGGGTTTACCTTATTATGTGGCTTCTCTAGGATCATGAACTATAGGCTCAATGTCCATTTGACTCATTACATCTGTTAATTCTCTTATTTCCCTGTTAAGTTTCTGTCTGGTTGACCTGTCCATTGGTGAGAGAGGAGTGTTGAAATCTCCTACTATTAGTGTGTTGAGTTTGATGTGTGATTTAAGTTTTAGTAATATTTCTTTTACATATATTACTGCTCTTATATTAGGGGCACAGATATTCAGGGTTGAGACTTCATCTTGATGAATTGTTCCTGTTATGAATATAAAATGTCCTTCTCCATCTCTTCTGATTCATTTGAGTTTAAAATCAATTTTGTAAAATCTTAAAATAGCCACACCCATTGTTTCTTAGGTCCATTTGATTTGAAAACCTTTTCCCAACTATTCTGTGGTAGTGTCTGTCTTTGAAGTTGAGGTGTGTTTCTGGTAAACAGCAGAATGCTGAATCTTATTTTAATAGACATTCTCTTAACCTGTATCTTTTTAAAGGTGAATTGAGTCTATTGATATTGAGTGATATTAATGACTGTTGGTTGTTAACTCGAGTTATTTTTTGGTGGTAGTGTTTGTGTATTTCCTTTCTTTGGGTTGTGTTGGTAGAAGGTTATCAGATGTTTGTTTTATTATAGGTATTGTTAGCTTCTTTGGGTTGAGGTTTTCCTTCCAGTACTTTCTGTAAGCCTGGGTTTTTGGATACGTATTGTTGAAATCTGTTTTTGTCATGGAATATCTTGCTGTCTCCATCAATAGTGAAAGAAAACTTTGCTGGGTATATTAGTCTGGGCTTGCATCCATGGTCTCTGAGTGTCTGCAGCACATCTATCAAAGACCTTCTGGCTTTCATGGTTTCCATTGAGAAGGCAGGTATAATTCTGAAAGGTTTACCTTTATATGCTAGTTGACCTTTTTCCTTTGCAGCTCTTAATATTCTTTATTCTGTATGTTTTGTGTTTTGATTATTATATGGCAAGGGAATTTTTTTTTGATCCAGTCTATTTGGTGTTCAGTAAGCTTCTTGTACCTTCATGGGGATATCCTTCTTAAGGTTGAGAAAGTTTTCTTTTATAAATGTGTAGAATATATTTCATGTGCCTTTGAGCTGGAATTCTTCTCCTTCTTCTATCCCTATTATTCTTAGGTTTGGTCTTTCCATGGTGTCCCAGATTTGCTGGATGTTTTGTGTTAAGAATTTGTTGGATTTAATGTTTTCTTTGACCAATGAGTCTATTTCCTCTATAGTATCTTCAGAGCCTGAAATTCGTTCTTCTATCTCTTGAATTGAGGCCAACAGTGTCTTGTTATCTTTGTCCGATCTTGGTTGTGGCTGTCTGAGGACTTGGGAATATTTCTTGGTCTGCCCTCTCTTAGGTCCCCTCAGTATTGGAACTAGCTCTGTTGCAGGGTTCCAAAGATCTGGCAGGTGAAAAGGCAGGATTGGTGGAGTGGGTTGGGGGAAAGCCCAGCAGCAGGAACATTCCCACTGGCTCACCACAAAAACATAGGGAGTTGGGGAGGGGCCCCTGGGTTCTGTCACAGTGGGAACATCCCAGAGAGTGGGTATCTGGCTGTCCCAGGCTTGTGGCTACTAACTCACCTCTCAGGTCTCCTCAGCACTGGAGCAGGCTGTGTTGCAGGGTTCCAAGGACTTCACAGGTAAAAAGGAGGGTTTCAGGGCAGGGTGGGTTGGGAGGAAGCCCAGCAGCAGGAACACTCCCGCTAAAGGGCCAGAAAAGCCAGGGAGTTAGGGATGAGACCTTGGGTTCTACCCTACTGCTAAGGTCCCAGAGAACATGACATTCAGTTGTCAGGGCTTGTGACACTGACTCACCTCTCAGGTCCCCTCAGCACTGGAGCAGGCTATGTTGCAGGGTTTCAAGGACCTCATAGGGGAAAAATTGGGCTTCAGGGCAGGATGGGTTGGGGGAAAGAAAGCCCAGCAGCAGGAACACTCCCTGCTGAATCTCTGGTCCTCTTAGCACTGGAGCAAGCTGTGTTGCAGGGTTCCAAGCTGCAGCATTTTTTTAACCTCAGTCAATATTTCACCTAAATTATCCTAAGGGTTAGAGGACTTCAGTGGTTCTAATATTTTTTGAGACTTTTATGGGCTGACATGGTCTAAGCTTAGTGGCAAGATATTTTTAGGAGGTTGTGTGTCAGCCTTTAATTTCTAGTCTTATTTCTCAAGCAATCATCTTCATATTGAATACTTTATAATGCATTCCTCTACTCTTATGAATGTACAGTGCATTGCCTCAAGTAGTCACCATGTGCAATAGCACACAAGCACTGCTGGCCCTGTCACTCTGGAATGCAGCACTACTATATTGGTTTCCCCCAATCCACTTCCTTCTTATGTGGTCATATTTTAAACATTTGGAACAAACCTCGACTGGAGCAGGAGTGTTCCAATTTTTAAAATGCATTCCAAAACTATGAATCCATCACACATATACTTTATCATTATGTGTTGTCTGAGGTTTTCTGTCCTGCCCAGTTCCTGCAATCATTAAGTCCCAAAGAAATTACACAGATGTCTATATTAGTAATAAAATGATTGTTCCATTAGCTTAGGCTTCTTATTAACTCTTATAACTTGCATTAGCCCATTATTCTTGTCTATGCTATCCATGTGGCTTGGTAACTTATTCAACAAGGCAATCACACTTTTCTTCTTCTGTGGCTAGGTCAGGACTGATGACCAAGCTTTCCTTTTCCCAGAATTCTCCTGTTCTCATTGACCCACTTCTACTTTCTGTCTGGTTGTCCCACCTGTACTTCCTGCCTGGAAGTATATTTAAAATATAATTGACAGAATAAAGACCATTGTCCCACACCATTTCCCCCTCTTTTCTAAAAAACAAAAAAAAACAAGAATACTAAATCTAATATTCTTTGTTTAGCTTTTCTACTGACCATTTGCCAAAACAACTTGTCACCAACATTCTAAACAAAGGAAAATATCCATAGTCCATTTTTTGGGAAAGTGGGTATAGTTTTCCAGGCTACTTCTTGCTGGTTGGGGGCACTAATAATCTTATGGGGACCTAAAGATTTAGAATTATGATCAAGTCCTAACTAGAGTATCCTGTGAAGCTTGATCATCTCAGGCAGCAGTCTTGAATCTGTCTAGATGTAGAACTCAGCCATCTGGCCATCTGTTACCACCAGAGATTTCTTAGGTGGTCTTCCTTGATCAAACCTGATTTTTCTTAACTCAGAATAAATCCATAGCCTCTCATTTTCAGTGGAAACAAAAGTAAAACCTCTTCTCCAAAGTAACATATCTTTTGACTTCAATTTTGAAGTCAAGGTATTTTCAAAATACCTATCTTTGATTAATCCGGCAGCATTTATAAACAAGTATCTTTTAGTGTTATATGAGGAGCTTGCCTGCTTTTCATCCCACCCAACTAGCTTACACCAGAAATAAACACACAGAAACTGTATTCATTTAAACACTGACTTGCCCAATAGTTCTAGCCTCTTTTTTTTACAGGTTCATCTTTTTATTAGACATGTCATCAAAACACCTAGTCAAAAAGACCAAGGCCCATGTCATCATCAGACTCCTCGAATTCTTTCTTCTTTGCTTCCACTTTCTTCTCCTCAGGTGGGGCAGCAGTGGTGGAGGGGGTAGGACTGCCTGCTGGTGCAGCTCTGGCTGCTGGAGCAGGTCCACCAGCCCCTACATTGCAGATGAGGCTCTCACTGTTGACATTGGCCAGGGCCTTTACAAACAAGACATGCCAAAAATGTTCAACATTGACACCAGTAGCTTTAATGAGGGCATTGATCTTATCCTCTGTGACTGTCACTTGTCATCATAGAGAATGAGGGCAAAGTAGATGCAGGTGAGCTCAGAGAGAGTCCATGTTGGGGGCTGCCAGCATGGTGCTAGTCTCCAGATGAAGTAAGGGCCTCACCCCAACATGGCCTTAGCTTCCTTGGGAGAACCAAGCACCTTGGTGGCAGAAGAGGAAAAGGTCCTAGTTCTAGCCTCTTATTGGCTAACTCTCACATCTTGATTCGACCCATTTCTAATAATCTGTGTAGCACCATGAGGTCATGGCATTCTAGGAAAGATTCTAACCAGCATCAGTCTCAGGCAGGAGCTTCATGGCATCTGCCACTCTGCCCTTCTTTCTAGCATTCAGTTCTGTCTACCCAGCCTACCTCAGTTTTGCCCTATCAAAAGGTCAAGGTAGTTTCTTTATTCAACCAATGAAAGCAACACGTAGACAGAAAAACCTCCTACAGAAGGAGAAGGAAAGAGAACGTGAGCAAGGAAGGCAAGATCAGAGGGAACCTTCATACGACGATGGATGGTGATACAGACGGAGACCCACATTGGAGCACTGGACGGAGTCCCCCAAGGTCCAAATGAGGAGCAGAAGGAGGAAGAACATGAAAAAGGAAATCAGGACCACGAGGGGTGCGATCACCCACTGATACAAGGGGACTGATCTAATGAGAGTTCACCAAGGCCAGTTGACTGGGACTGAGCGAGCACGTGATCCAACCAGATTCTCTGAATGAGGCCGGATTCTCTGAATGTGGCTGGCCCGGAGTCTTTCTGAAAAGCCATTGACAATGACACTGGGACTTGTTTCCTCTGCATATACTGGATTTCTGGGATCCAGTCTGTTTGGATGCTCACCTTCCTGGACCTGAAGGGAGGGGGAGGAGCTTGAACTACCCACAGGGCGGGAGACCCTGACTGCTCTTGGTGATGGAGAGGGAGGAGGGGAGGGAGGAGAGGGAGTGGGAGATTGTTGGGAGGAGGGGCAGAAATGGAGACTTTTGTATTTTAATAAACTTTGAGAAAAAAAAGAGAAACCTCCTACACCATTTTAGCAGCTGTTTCTCCTTCCTCAGCATTCAAACAATTCAAAGAGAGCATAATAACATACAGGATCCAGACTCTCTGTGCATTTTCATCTTTACATGGCTTTATTTAACCTCTATTTGTTTTATTTTTATTTTTTGGCTTTTTGAGACAGGGTTTCTCTGTGTATATTTGGCTATCCTGGAATTCACTCTGCAGACCCACAGAGTCCTTGAATCCACAGAGATCTCCCTGCCTCTGCTTCCCAAGTGCTGGGATAAAGGTGTGTTTGACTATGCCTCATATTCACAGAGATCTGTCTGTCTCTGCCTTCCATGAGTTAAGATTAAAGATGTGTACTACCACACACAACTACTCTTTTTCTTTTTTATTTTAAGTACTTTAGCCTTTAGCCTGCATTTATATTTAACACACTGTAAACCTAGATGTTTTCTTCATCTTTGACTCTCTCTTTACTGTATATCTCTCTTTTTCTGACCACATGAGTAGTTAGTTTGCTAAGTGATATGGCTTAGGTTAAAGTCATGGCTTTGGCAGCTGAATTTAGCCCATTTCTTAGCTTTCTGAGATTCCAGCCTCATGGTCGAGGTACCAGCTATAGCCATGTTTATTGACACAACTCTATGGCACTTCAAGGTCCCTGCCAGCAAGCAAACTACAGCAGTCTGCTCACAAACCACACTCAAATGCTCTGTAGCTGGACCTCCTGCCTGAAAGAGTCAGAGTTTGTGCTGGCAGGACTACCCAGAAAGCTGGCATTTTAAAACAATCCAGCTTTTTTCCTGGTATGGCTGAAAATAAAAATGTATGCAGTCATTTCTTCTTCAACACTATTTAAGTGTTTTGTGGCAGGATCTCTTAAAAGAGCTGCAAAGTTAATGCTGAGTCAGGAAGCCTCTTTAAATGAGATGCATTTGCCTCTAGCAAACAGAGCCCACCTGAGAAAATGCTGCTATCAATAAGCTGTGCTTAATTCTAAAAAGAAATAAAAAGAATAGAGTTACTTCCCAAGCTCTCTCAGGCTTATGTGGATGCAGTTATCGACATGGGTACCATTCTGTTGTCTGAGGTTTTCTGTCCTGCCTGGTTCCTGCAGTTGTTAACCCCCCATAGAAATCACACAGAGGTCTATATTAGATATAAGTTGATTGGTCAATTAGCTCAGGCTTCTTATTAACTCTTATAACATACATTAGCCCATTATTCTTGTCTATGCTAGTCATGTGGCTCAGTACCTTATTCAGTGAGGCAGCCATATCTTTTTTTCTTCTGCATCTTGGTCAGGACTGTGGACCAAGCTTTCCTCTTCCCAGAATTTTCCTGTTTTCATTGACCCACCTCTACTTCCTGTCTAGTTGTCCTGCCTATACTTCCTGCCTGGCTACTGGTCAATCAGTGTTTAGTTAAAATATAAGTGACAGAATACAGACCATTGTCCCACACCAATTATATTCCTGTTTCTTCTTCTCCTGAGAAGATTTCACTTCAATTATTTCACAGGTGAAGATTCTTTTTCACTGTCTTTTAAAAGTGTGTATGCGAGTTGGTCCATGAAAATATCTGGTACTTGCCTACAGTTTCTGCAGAGAACAAAAGAGCCTCAGGTCCATTGGAGCTGGAGTTACAGGCAGCTTTGAGCTGGGGAGGAAACTATGGCCTCCTTGAAGGACAAGGACTTATATCTGCTGAACCATCTGTCAGGTCCTTAGCCAGAACATGCATCTGTTTCCTGAGTAAAACTTTTAACTGTTGCTTTACCTAGTGTGCTAGGCTCTGTGTGCAACTGAGGTTTGTTCTCATTGGGAGGGGTTGGTCCTCTCCTGCTTCCAGGATCCCTAACTGCATATAACACAACAGTCATCTCAAAATGCCTCCCATGTTGTGCTCTACCCAGACTCAGTCAGGTCTGGTTTGGGAGGAGCTTCAGGCTCAGAAGACTGTGAGAAAACTCTGCAGTGTTTGGCCAGACAGGCTTCCTGGGTGGGGCTGACTGGTTGCAGGAGGAGGACACTCCAGCAACCAACCTGACACCACAGCCCAGAGGTTGTTTACTTACTTCTGTCTGCAGCTGCCTGATAAGCACCATGAAGAGGCTGCTCTGTTCCCTGCTTGGACTGCTGTGCACCCAGGTTTTCTGTGAGTCTGGCTGTCCATATTCAGGGGACAGAGAGGATTTTGCTCAGCACAAGGAGTGGTTAGAAACAGTTCAGGGGTCCTACAGAGCTCTCACCTTCTGAAAGGATAAGGGATGAGTTCAGGATTGGATTCTGTGGATGTTCAGTGACCTCCATCTGTGTCTTTTTTCTGTTTCTAATCAGGGGTGAAAGGTCAGCAAGTGAAGCAGAGTCCTGTGTCCTTGGTGCTGCAGGAGGGAGAGAGCACAGAGCTGCAGTGCAACTTTTCCACCAGTGCAAAGCAAATACAGTGGTTTTACCAAAGTCCTGGGGGACACCTCATCAGCCTGTTCTTCAATCCTTCTGGAACAAAGCAGAATGGAAGACTGAAGTCCACAACAGTCACTCAAGAACGCCGCAGCTCTTTGTACATTTCCTCCTCTCAGACCACGGACTCAGGCACTTATTTCTGTGCCGTGGATCCACAGTACTCCCTACACACCTGCAGCCAGCACATAAAACTTCAGCTGGCTGGCTGGTTGGGTGTGGCCCACTCAGCTACTAGAAAGACATCAGAAAGTTGCAACAGACCTGCTCTTTTAATGTCCCTTTCCTGTTTTGGTAGAGTTTCAACCTCAGGTAAATTTTGGCCCCAAAGGTTCAGGAATTTGGTTAATCTCCAATTCTCAATATCACTCCCTCCTAGAGCATAAATGTTCATCTTAGAAATAAAATAGAAGCTGATGAGAGGACATAATTAATGTGATTATTTAAGCTGCAATGTGTAAAACTCACAAAGGATGAAGAGAAAAGGGAAAGAATGGCAAAGGCAGGCTTCCAGATAACCCTGCTGTGGACAGGGTCAGGGTTAGTGAAGAGAAAACAATCTGCAGCAACAGCAAGAGCATCAAGCCATGGGAGATACAGAATGTGCAGAGAGCTGGGTGCTCTAGCTTCCTTTCGGTTGCTGTGCTAAAACTCTCTGAGAAAAAGCAGCTTAGAAGGTAGAAGACTTTGTTTAGCTTTCACTTCATAGTCATAGTCCATCATTGGTGGCAATCAAAACAGGAACTCAACCAGAAGATTCAAAGAGGAACCCTGAGGAGACTGTTACTAGTTCAGTCACAGGCTCACGCTTAACTAGCTTCCTAATATGATCCAGGCCACTTTTCCCATGGAACGGTGCTGCCCACAGTGACCTAGTCTCCATTCAATTCAGTAGCTTAAAAAATGATGCTTGGAGTTTTAGTGCCAGTTTATTGAATTTAAGGGAGCATTGGGAATATTGAAGGCATTGAATCTTCTAGTCATTATTTAAATTTACCTTTTCATATATTTAACTTGACTCAGTCTGATCCATTGCCATTTTTTGTCCTGTTGTTGTTTGTTTTCTTAAAAATAGATTCATTTCACATAATATATTCTAATCACTGTTTCCTGCCCTACATCTTCCAAATTCTCTCTACCTCCCCAGCCATATAATTACACACCTTTCTTTTTATTTTAAGGCAACAAGCAAGTTAATAAGAAAACCAGAATAGAACAAACAGAAAAAAACCAAAAAGCATGAGAAGCACATAAACATATATGCAAAGATACATGCACACATAAAATCCATAAAAACACAAATTTTAAATCCATAATGTATAAACAAGCAATGAATATGTTAAATAATGCCCAGATAAAACATTGTGAAAAAAGTCTCTAAAAACACAATTGAGTTCATTTAAGTTGGCCATTTACAGCTGATCATGAGGCCTGCCTTTAAGTGTGGTTGTATATACAGAAAAATGTTGGTGTGCTACATCCACGGCTGTCTCGCCAGTATAGCAGAAATGCTGACTAGGCAGGCAAGTGTTGCCAGAGGATTGGGATCCGCACTCCACAGAGATGAGTCCTGGGCTGCCCCTTGGCAATCAGTTGTGGTGTAATGCCACCTGAGTCGCCATTTGTACTGACTCGACCTGCCTGTCCTTGGAGCCATAAGTCTGTCTTTTCCCTTGTCTGTGTGTTCTTTGTGATTCTTGCATATTGCTAACAGATCAGACTATTCCAGGCAGTTACGGATACAAACAAGACTGCTGAGGACATTTTTGAATTCTGCTTCACTATTAATTAAAGCCTTAAAAAAGTAGCCAGTTCTGGAAATTGCCAGAATCATCATTAGGACAATTCCTTGATGATGTGGAACAAAAGGAGTTAATTTTACTAGGAAAAACCTTAGAAGCTTTAGGCATTTGCCTGAGAAATATGTACAGTTGTAAATAGAAGGCCTATGAAACCTTTCTTATGGGAAGAAAAAGACCTAACCTAAGCTGACAATATCTGAGCCTGAGAATTGAGAAGGGAGGAGAGTTGAAGTTAGTGATATAAAGTAAACTTCAGAGAGATTCAAGACTATGTATTAGAAATTTCCTAGCAGAAAGCTTTCCCAGGGAGATAGTAGCCTTTTTCTTTCTCACCCAGGCACACAAGGTCACTTAGCTCAAACCAACCAGCCACCTGCAAGCTGATAAAGATGGTCTAGCTCAAGGACAGTGATCTCTATGAAGGTAAGAGGAGAGAGTTTGTTTTGCAAAGTGTGAGAGAGCAGAAGTCCTTGTGCCCAAGTCAAAGCATCTTCAAAGATTCTTTTTGTAAACTGTTTTATGCTGTTCTTTTCTGTTTTATGATTTGATAATGTATGCCTTTGCCAAGTTCTTTGATTGTAAAAAAATATATAATCCTACACTGAAGTAAGTAAAAACACAACAGCATGTCTCAAATACATTGAGAGTGGTCTATTTGTCACTTTCCTCGCCGTATCCTGATTTCTCCTGTGCCTTCGCCCTGATTCCCTTATGGTCTGAGTGGCTCCCCTGAGCCGGTCCGTAGCATTGGTGAAACCTCAATTTTCCCTTGTGGGCAGTTTCATTGAAGATAGCTTCTTGGTTAGGGGACATGATGTTTACTTCACCCTCTTAGCACTGGGACTCCATCTGTATAAGACTGTTTAGCCCTGTGTATGTTGCCACCCTCTCCAAGAGTTCCTATGTGATATTGTGTCCAGAGGGCATCATTTCCTTAGTGTCTTCCACCTCCTGACACTTACAATCTTTCTGCTTCCTCTTCAACAAAATTCCCTGAGCCCTGTGAAGTGGGTGTTTCGTCTGTACATGACCTTGGTTTTCTTACCTGCAGATATGATCTCTTAAAAGGAAGATGGACAGGGTCATTCTGGCTTTGGTGGTGAAGACTGTATCACTGGCAAGAAACAGTGCTGAATATATTGAAGAATCTACCATCCCTTAGAATTATCCTGTATTTGTTATATTAAAAGGAAGTCTGGAAAATGGAGAATGCTGATAGACCAGAGAACAATAAATAACACAATTCAACTGATGGGCTCTCTACAACATGGAAAGCCTTTGCCTTCTCTATATCCTAAGAAATGGCCTATTTTAGTTATTGACTTAAAAGACTGCTTATTAACTATGCCTTTACAAGAAAAAATTAAGGAAAATTTGCCTTCATGATGTCTACTTATAAAAACTCTCAGCCAGTTAAGAGATATCAATAGAAGAACCTCCCACAAGTAATGTTAAATAGTCCCACCCTTGACAATATTTTGTGCAAAAATCCTTGGAAATAATTCATAGACAGTTTCTACAATCTATAATTTACCATTATATGGACATTATCTTATTAACTGATTCAAAGGTAGATAGTTTAGGAAAAATGTTCAGAAAAGTAAAGAATGTCTTTAGATGACATTATTAGCTGATTCAATGGCAGATACTTTAGATAAAAAGTTTTGAGAAATAACAAAAATCTTGCCTTGTTGGGGATTACAAATTGTTCCTTTAAAAATACAGAGAGGAGAGTCTTTTAATTACTTAGAATATCCAGTCGGTCTACAAAAAATTAGACCCCAAAAGGTACAAATAAGAAGAGCTCAATTGTAGACCCTTAATGACTTTCAAAGATTACTAGGAGAGTAATTTGTTCAGTAACCTAGAGAGGGATAAAGACTTAAATAGTACAAGGAAATTAGCAGAAGAAGCTGAAAGCGAATTGGTTTTGGTGGGAACGAATTTATAGAAATCACATGTGGATCATGTAAATCCAAAGTTTAATTAGATTCTGGTTGTATTATCATCTAGACAATCCTCTATAGGGATTTTGATATTATGTTGGAATGAATATTCCTGCCACATAAACAGAGTTAAAAATTAAAGATGTATGTGGAAAAGATTTCTGATTTGATTTTAAAATGGAAAATTAAGACTTCACTAACTGACAGGAATGAACCAGCAGAGATTATTGAACCTTTACCTATTGAGGAATTCTCTTCTTTATGGAAAGATAATGAATATTGGTAAAGGGCTTGTAGTATCTTAGAGGGAAAGATTAACAACAGTTATTCCAAAAGTGAGAGGACTAAATTCATAAAAAGAACCAGTTGGGTCCTTCTGCACATTGTACAGAGAATACCAATATCTGGAGAATCTAAATTCTATACTGATGCAAATAAATCAGGAAAAGCAGTGTATAAATCAGGAAACTTAAGCAAAATAGTTCAAAGCCCTTATAATTTTGTGCAAAAGCTAGAAGTGTATGCCTTTTTATGATACTAAAGAATTTTACAGAACCTCTCAATATGGTTACTGACTCTTAGCATGCAGAAAGAGTTATTTAACATATTGCAACTACTGAATTCATTTCTTATAAAAATAGAATTAACTTAACGATTTATACAATTATAGGAAATAATCAGGAGTAGTAATCATATATATAAATATATATGATTATATATCAGATCCCATAAGGGTCAGCCAGATCCTCTAGCACAAGGTAATAATGAAATTAATCAGTAAAAAAGTATGCTGGAGGCCTCAGAAGTTCATTTTTTTAAAAAAAACCATGTTAATAGCAAAGGTTTAAAAAAATTTTTCCATCACTTGGCAACAAGTCAAGGAAATCATTTTTAAAACGTCCTACTTATCCCTTCTTTAACCAAACTCCATTACCTGCTGGAAGAAATTTTAAATGTATGCAAAGAAATGAAATATGCCAAATGGTTTTATTTTGTTTTGCAGAATTTGGTAAATTAAAACTTGTATACCATACAATAGATACATTTTCAGGATTTCAATGAGCAACTGCTTTGAGTTCTGAATAGGCTGATTCTGTAATTATATACCTATTAGAAGTTATGACTGTTGTGACCTGCACAAAATAGGATTGACAATACTTCAAAATATGTCTCTAGTAAAATGAAACATTTTTGCATTTTATAATATAAAACATATTACTGGTATGCCAAAGAATCCTACAGGACAAGCGGGTGTAGAAAGATCTAATTTCACTTTAAAATAGATGCTTAATAAACAGGTAGTGGGAACTAAGACCCCCCCCAGAGATAGATCATGCTTTATTAACATTTAATTTTCTTAATGCGAATAAGAAAGGGATAATAGCTGCAGATAGGCATTAAACAATAGAAAAAAACTACTGAGTTAAATCAGCCTGAGTACTTCAAAGATGGGTTGTTATCAGAATGAAAACCAAGCCATATATAACACAGGGGAAGTGGTTTGTTTTTTCTTACTGGAGATGAAGAGTTATGAATACCATCAAAATTAATAAAGATTCTATTTGAACAATAGAGACCTAATAAGGAGAAATAATGCTTCAGTAACTAATGTGACATATCTAAAGAAAAACTCAACAAATTATGTTTGGGGCAGAGTTCTGCTTCTTTTTTTTTGTCTTTATAGGAAAATAGAGATATTCACCTTCAAGAAATTAAAAGACCTTGGACATCTAGACATCTAAAGAAGGAGGGAAAGCTATCTAGAAAAAAATATTAAGCAAAGAAAAATCTGACCTATGGTACCAATTTTCTCAGCAGGACAAAATATCACTACCTAAACATCTATATCTCTTTATTTCTCAGAAAAGCTATAGTCCCAACTCAATTAAACATCAGTGTTAGCATTGGAGTTGGAACATAGCTCTCTCACTCTGTAATTCCAAGCATACTGTTAAAAGAAAAATTAAGAGTCTCTGTCTCATATCAGAAGAGCTGCCTGGTGTGGGATAGAAGACAACCAAGAAGGCAATGCCAAGAATCCTAGTGCTGCTGCTTGACAAAGATCACAGTGCTCAGATGACTTGGACTGACTGTTCCCTGCCTTTGCTAGAAGTTGCTGTACAACTCTTGTATGTCTTTGACATCTTCAATGTTTATTAACTCCTTGCTGTTAAGGGCACGTCACTGAAGACTAGAACTGGAACAATGAACCAATTCTTGTAAAAGCTGATGTTAAGAATAAACTTATGGTGATTCCCTGGAAGAGTTAGCTGTACATAAATTGAGTCTTCTATAGAAATTATTAATTAAGTAATACCAAAGAATGTGAGCTATAGGATCTAAAACAAATCATTTAAGCAGAAAAACTTAGGAAAACTTTAGAGGCTGACAAGCTATAATTGAATCATTACATTTTTTGTGTTTTGCCTCAGAAACATGGAACTAGTACTAGCAAGGGAAAAAAATCTTGATTACCAAGTATAAACAAGTAAAGAATTCTTGATTACAAAGTTAATTGCAGGCTTTGGTACCCTCCTGAAGGCAAAGTAAACAGTTTTAGGAATTTTGATGTTCTTTTACCTCCTTTTTATAAACTTAAAAAGGGTTTTTGTAGACTTCAGGGAATTGGCTTAATTTCAGCTCTCACAGGTAATGGACCCCAGGTTAATACTATGAATCAACAACTTGTTTCCCCACCTCCATGGCTATGAAACAATTCTAAGCTAGCTACCAACATAAAGTCTTTCCATCAACAAATTACAGTCATTATTCAGTTCGATTTAAATTTTGTTCCCAAGGTTACAAAACAATTTTTACAATCTCTCACTTCTTTTGTCTAAGTACAGCTTAAGTTCACAAACAAAAAAGGGGGAGATGGCACAGCCATATCTGATGGGAATGGCAGAAGTCATAAAGCCAGCACAACTGTTAGACAAAGATCCAACAAAGCTGAGCCACATGATGGTCACCATGTCACCTTTGGTTTTCATCTCCACCTGTTGCATACTTGAGAGACTTTTAATATTTGCATAATTTGGGGATATTGAATTGATGGAAATTTTTATATAAATAATTTATGCCTTCTTCCAGGAATTCTATTTCAAAGCTTCCTCAGGACAACCCTGAACATACTATTCCCCCTATTTTAGGGAGGTATACTCCCTAAATATCTCCCTACAATAATCTACTTGAAGGTTTTCCTTATGCCTTGGAGGTTGTGGCACACATAAAAAAGCCAGAAGTCTCTTTATGAGGCTATGGCACATTTTTTAAATATCTGTCCTTTCATTTACTCAGGAACAAGATAATCAAAACAAAATAAGCTTTAAAAGGTCAACAAGATTCATTGGCCTGGAGGAGTTGGCCACAGTTCAGATTACAAGCCTCTTCCCACTATACACTCAGGCAATTATGGGTCATATACAGCAACAAAGATAGATTAGCTATAGTTACCACTGTCCTACAAAGAGACTTATACTGATGGGCAAAGAATGATATAGAAAAATGATAAAAGTATTCTATAATGATATAAAAAATAAACATTGTATTATGCCAGAATTTGAAAAATAACTGCAGCAATTTTGACCTGAGGATATTTCTTGGGCCCTCTAACCATTGAGAGTTAATAATACACTGCTTGGGACATGACAGTAAGCCCAGGAGTGCTTGAAGTTTGTTTGGGTCTAATGTCCTTGTAACCACAAAAGCAACAAGCCTGAGAACAGCTTGTCATATACCTCTAGATTCTTAAAAATTGGGTTATGGGGCTGTTGAAAAAAATAGTTATGAAAAATAACTGCTTATCAATGATTGGAAATGATAACTCTGTTCTGTCATAATTTATTAATTATGACTAAAAGACGAACAAAAGAAAGTTAAACATTTGTCCAAAGCCAAAAATGATATCATCTATGTTTTAAAGCAACAAGAATGTATCCCTCATACTAAATCATACTAAATTCTGCAAAAATAAAGAAGGACTCTGGCTTCCAGTCAATCAAGTTGCAAGATTCTTCTAACCATCGTGTCCTGCTTCCCTCCCTTCCTCAAAAACTTCTTACATCCTCTGCTCTCCACCACCAGGGATGGTTCCAGGCATCTAGGGACTATTGTCAAAACTCCGTTTTTTATCCCAAATTCAATTTCTCCTCATACATATTTTTGACTGTTTGGTTCTTTTTTTACATAAATAGCTATCTTAAGATTTAAATTTTCAATTTTGATTTTAATAATGTTTAAGTTATCCACAGTGAACCAAAATATTTCTTTACAGAAATCTCTGAAGTCTTCAGAAGGAGGATGGGACTAGGACTCTACCTGGATCCTAAGGACAACACCAATAGGCCTTATCCATTACTCAGAGACTGGCTACAAATTAGTCCTCTTGAGACTCAACTATTGTTTTAACTTTATACAGAATCCTATGGAGACATCCACTAGGCAGCAGAAAGAAATTCTAAGAAAATGATGTCCTAAAGATTTTGTTCTGTCAGTTTTATGGATAATCATCATCTGTTAGGAGTTGGTTATAAGTTGTAATAAGGTTGGGAGGGGAACAACAGATTTTAGACTTAGGAAATCTTTTGGGAGAAAATGAGGGAATAGATACCTATAGCCCTGTATTTCCAAAAAATTTCCTAAGTCTAAAATCTGTTGATCTGTTGTTCCCCTCCCAACTCTATTACAACTTATAACCAACTCCTAACAGATGATTTATATATATCCCTACAGGTGGGATACCTAGGGAGTTGGGTGTGGTGGGAAGAGGGGATCCTGAAGTAGGTTATATTAAGGCAAAGAATTATGTGGCTATATGGGGATGGGAGAGCTAAAGACCCTGGGTTTGAACCAAAAGTTACAGCCTTCAGTGACTGAAGTTGAGGATGGGACCTTAAGCAGGTTGTTACCAGGCTGCGTGTGAGAATGGAAAGATTGTAACGGAGAGTAGAAAAGACTGTGTGAATAACCTACTTGAGTCCCTGCCAGTGTGGTCACTGGGGTAGATAATGTTTTTATGTAGTGCATGGTAAGACTAAGGGAAGGGGATGGACTAGAGTGGATGCTGAGCTGGTCCATAGGCATGAGGGAAACTGAGTCCTCTGAAAGATTTAGTGGAGTCCCTGGGGTGGAGGCAGAGAGGAAGAATAGGAACCTACTAGCGGTCTTCTCCAGGTCTAAGGATGGTACCCTGGAGACAGAAATGAGGAGGTGAATGACAATGAAAATGGTCTAGCTGTTTCCCAAGCCTGTGTGTACACTGCATTCCCAGATAGATAGTGTTTGTAGCTCTTCACAGTTGAGACAAAGAAATGAGAATCAGAGAGTACTGGGAGGGTCCACAGGAAGGAGGAAAGATGGGTTTGTTGCAAGGTTTGGCAGATTCTCCAGGGAATCACCACTGCTCTTCTATCAGTAATTCTGTCTAGATGCTGGGGAATGAGTGAAATGGATGATGCCCTCCTCAAGATCAAATGACTCCTGAGAACTTTTCTAAGAGTAGCATTGCATATTTTTGATTCCAGGCTAACTTCTCTGGAAATTCAGATACTTACATAAAATCATCATATCTGTATTTTCAAAAAGAACTCACTCTAATAGAAAAAAAAAGATTTTTCTCTTGCAACTCAAAGCTTATGAGAGACCTCAAAAAATCATTTCCCCAAGTGCCATAAGTTCAAGGATAAATGCTATCTCTGTATCTGAGAAAAGGAAGAGCTGTTTGGTGAGTGATCCAAGATTTCTGAGATATGGCAGTGGGTTAGGAAACAGTTCACACAGAAAGAAATGTATATACAACACATATGAACACATCATATATATTTACATACAAAACATAATATATATTTATATATAAAATATGATGCATATTCTATGCTAGACTAAAATAAAGAAGCAGACTCACTAGTGTGTACAAATACCATTCTTGTTCTCTCAGCACTAGATCCACTTGTTATGACATATTGCTGTTTTACGTGTTTGAGTTCCTCATAGGCCAGAGAACCCGTAAGGAGCAGCCTCTCTGGTTAAGGGTGTAACCACAAGGTGGTAGTAGATATCAGCTGCTGGGGCAGGCAGAGGACTCACTTCCTTGTATACATATTGTGCAGGCTTAGGGCAGAAGCACAGCCTTTTTCTCAGTGCCTGGGTGGATAGTTGAAGAGGTAGAATTGTTCCTGAGAAAGAATAATACCCCAACATTTGTAGCTGACCTCCTAGTCATCATAATTATACACTGAACCTTAATTAATTGGAAGAACAATGAAGACATATGTTCCTACTTTATTCATGCTCTCGTGGCTGCAGCTGAATGGTGAGTTAAGATTTTAAAACCACAGAATACTCAGTGGGCATTTCTTTTTTTTCTGATGGTTCTTTTTTTATCAATTACTTTTTAATGTTTTTACTGTGCTATACATTTTTCTCTGCTCCACTTCCTTCCTCCCCTCTCCCCATCGACTTCTCCTGTGACCACTACACTCCCAATTTACTCAGGAGATCTTGTCTTTTCAGATCCTTCCTGTTTATATCCATTTACGTTTCTTTTAGGGTCCTCTTTGTTGTCTAGGTTCTCTGGGATTGTGGGTGGTAGGCTGGTTTATCAGTGGACATTTTGGAAACATACAGGAAGAACTTTATCTTATTCAACTTTTCTCTACTGACTGTAGAAAAAGATAATTCACAACCGTTCTTTCTTTCCATTTTCCTAAATAGGGGTGAGCCAAGGTGAGCAGGTGGATCAGCGTCCTTCCACCCTGAGAGTCCAGGAGGGAGCCAGAGCTGTCATTAACTGCACATATGAAGACAGCGCCTCGCCCTACTTCCCTTGGTATAAGCAAGAACCTGGAAAGCATCCTAAGCTCATTATTGACATTCGATCAAATATGGAAAGAAAGCAGGACCAAAGACTGATCATTTCACATGATAAGAAAATCAAACACCTCTCCCTGCACATCACAGACACCCAGCCTGGAGATTCTGCCATGTACTTCTGTGCTGCAAGTGCACACTGCTCCCCAGGCACCTGCAACCTGTCCTAAAACCTGCCACAGGGCTTGGGGCCCCATCCACATCCTGTGTCTTGTTTGTGCAGCACTTGCCAGGTGTTAGTTTGCAAATGACAGCTATAGTACAGACATTGAAAACACAAAATAAGTAATTAGCTTCAAGTCGCTCAAAACAATTTAGAATGGTTTTCTCCTTTTCAAAAAATTTATTTAAAAATTAAAATACAATTTTATTATTTTCCTTTCTTCCCTCCAGCCCCTTCTAAATCCCTTTTCTTATTCCCTCTCAAATTCAGTCCTTTGCTAAGATATTACTAACTTTTATTATTTAGTTATTATTTTTAAATTAACTAATTTTTAAACTATTATTACATATGTGGATAATGTAATTGACTATGTCTGATTACTGTTGTTTGTGTGTATATAATTTTAGGGCTGATCACTTGGTATTGGATATCCAATATTATCCTCAGGGATAAATACTTCTTCCTCTATTCTTTAATTGTCTGAAGTTCATTGTCTAGAGCATGGATCATCATCAAGTTAGGAGATAGATATCAAAGTGATACAAACAGGAAAAAATAAATCAAATTATTACCAAGTGATATGATATTTAATATAAGAGATTCCAAAACCTCTACCAGAAATTTCCTAAAATTATCAATGATTTCAGCTACATAGTAGAATACCAAAGACACTTAAAAACATCAAGAGTCTTTCTATGCATTACCAACAAACATGATGCAAAAGAGATCTTCCACACATACTCATTTAGTACAGCTTCAAATACTAAAATATCTAGGAATAGACATACCCAAGGAAATGAAAAACTTCTTTAAGAAAATATTTTAAATCTCTGAAGAAACAGGTTGAGAAAGACACTAGAAAATGTAAAGTCTTCTCATGCTCATGAATTAGTAGAATTAATGTTGTGAAAATGACCACGATACTATAAGTGATTTAAAAATTCAGTGCATTTATGCTGGAGAGGTTGTGGGGTAAAGGAAACACTCCTGCACTGCTGGTGGAAATGCAAGCTGGTACAGCCCCTTTGGATATCAGTGTGGTGATTTCTCATAAAATGAGGAAACAACCTACCTAAAGACCCAGTAATACCACTTTTGGGTATATATCCAAATGATTCTCATTTGTGCCACAAGGACATGTGCTCAACTATGTTCATAGCAGCATTGTTTGTCATAGCCTGAAAACAACCTAAATGTCCTTCGACCAAAGAATGGATAAGAAAAATGTGGTAGATTTACACAATGGAGTACTACACAGCAGAAAAAAATAATGACATCTTGAATTTTGCAGGAGAGTGGATGGAGCTAGAAAACATCATTTTGAGAGGGGTAACCAAGACACAGAAAAACAGTTATCACATGTTCTCACTTATAAGTGTTTTTTAAACATAAAACAAAGAAAACCAGCCCACAAATCACAATCCCAGAGAACCCAGACAACACTGAGGACCCTAAGAGAGATATACTTGAATCTAATCTATATGGGTAGTACAAAAAGACAAGATCTCCTGAGTAAATTGGGAGCTTGGGGACCTTGGGAGAGGGTTGAAGGGGGAAGGGGAGGACAGCAGAGAAAAATGTAGAGCATAAAAAAATCAATAAAAAATTTAAAAAAAGGTCCAGTGCATTCCAAATCAAAACTCCACAACATCCTTCACAAAAATATGAAATAAAACACCTATGTCCATATGGAAGCACTCAGTATATGAAATAGACAAGACCAAATAAGAATTGTCACACAGCATATAATAGCTAAAATACCAAGTATATATAGAAAAGAAAATATAATGAAAACTAACCAAGAAAAAAATAGGTCACATTTAAAGACAAAAATTAATATCATCTATTAATAGTTAAAAATTTCAATATTCCATTTCTCAGGTAAACAGTTCACCTGGAAAAAATATTAAAAGAGAAACTATCAGAATAAATTGAAATACTACAACAAGTAGACTGAACAGATACTAGAAAATACTCTATCCAAATGCCAAAGAATACATATTCTACTCAGCAGCATGTGGGACATTTTCTAGAATGAAAAACATATTGGGACATAAAATAAATCTACAAGTTCAAAAAATTTTAAAAACAGTCCTTGTAGTTTATCTGACCACAATGCAATAACACACACACACACACAAACACACACACACACACACACACACACACACACACACAAGTAAATGACAGCATTTCATTCTTTTCTATACTCGAGTGGTGTTCTACTGTGCATACTTCTTTTACTTCCTTTTTTCCCCATACAATGCACCCAATCATACCTGATTCCCAGTCCTTAGAAGTCTACCCTCCCACCCTTGCACCCTCCTCCCATAGAGAAAAAAAATACACCAATTTCAATTTGCCTTGCTCATACACTTATTGGAGCATGGTCAAACTCCCTCTGACCAGCCCCTTAAAGGTAAATGAGTTCTGCCTCACCCCTCCAGAAGCCATCAACTGTAAAGAGTTACACTTCAGCATCTTTATTACATTTTTTAAAGGATTCTCTTCAAAAGCTTCATGTCTGGACTCTGTCTTTCTTTTGGGGTAGAGGGTAGGGAGAGGTTGTCACAGAAGCCTTCAATGTCTCTCATTCTCAGTTATGAATCAGCAGCCATGGACACCACCACAGCAAAAGAAGCTTCCTTGCCCATAACAACCAGCAGGAGCACAGATTGTGGACTTGCACATTGTTTCCAGGAGCAGCACAGATCACAGTCATTATGTTAAATGAAATAAGCCAATCACAGAAAGACAATACTACATGATCTGTTTCATTTGTAGAATAGAATGTTGCTCTTACTTAAGCTGAAAATAGAATGGCAGCTACTAGTGTCCTTGGAGAGCAGATAGATGAGGAGATGAGGAAGACGGATATACAGATGTGAACACTAAAAGTAAGGATTTCTCATGTGCCACTGTACTGTATGGTGACTAAAGATGTCAGGTATGGACTATGAATTTCAAAAGTACAGAAGAATGCATTTGGAAATTTTCTATAAAGTGATGATAAATATTTGAGGATATATATATATATATATTCAATGTGAAAAGAAAAATATATTCATGTATTTTATAACCTTCGTTTTTATATGAGTAAAATATAATTAAATAAAAATAGAAAATAAACAACTAAATAAGTTTATTAGTTAGTTTCAATCTAACTGCTCAGTTTCAATCCAATCCAACCCCACCAAAATAAAAACCTCAAGTAAACACACAAACTCATGGATATTAAACAATTAATTATTAAATGATGAAGACATCACATAAGAAATTAAGAAACAAATAAAAATTTCCTTTAGCTAAATGAAAATGAAAACACAATACTACAAAACTTAATGAGACACACTGAAAACAGCCTGGTGAGAGAAATTTACAGCTCTAAGTACCTATATTAAAAATTCAAAAACAACAAAACAAATGGCTAAACGATGCAACTCAAAAAGAATAAGTGAAATCCAGAATCAGTTGTCAGCAAGAAATAATAAAAACCAGAGCAGAAATCAACAAAATAGAAACAAAGGAAACAATACAAAGAATCAATAAATTTAAAAGCTGGCTCTTTCAGAAGATTAACAGATTGACAGATCTTTTAGTCCAGTTAAACAACAACAAAAAAAGAGGTAACCCAGTTTATCAACATCAAAAGTGAAGAGAAAAACATGCAACAGATACCAAAGAAATTCAGAATATTATTAGGAAATATTTTAAAAACTGGTACTCCATTAAGTTGAAAAGTATAGAAAAACATATGTTTTTGCCTAATAAAAAGCAGAAGATAAAATATAGCCCCAGTCACAGAAATTAAGAGTGTAGTGTAGAAAGATTCCACAGCTGTGAGCAGGTCCTGGCATGGATTAAGAGTTAGACGGGCTGGTTTATTGATGGATAAACCTTAAGTAGCTACTACAGTTTCCCAAGTAAATCAAAACGTTTGTCAAGTGTTGTCAAAAGAAAGCACATTTAAGCACATGCTCTGGGAGCAATAGAGTGGTTTATTATATGTAGCTATGTAATAATGGGGGACATAATGTCTCTAGAAAAATGGTCTAATTGTGCCAATATTGGTTCACAAAAGTGGAGATGATGCCTGGGGAAGAAAGGTACAGACTGAGCTCTGAGTAGATCCAGTGAAAGAATTTTGGATGCTCTTCAAGATGTGGGACCATAGGCACTTCAACAAACACCAGGAGCACATCTCAGGGTGATTTTTCCTAAGCTTCAGCTCATTTCTTAATTAAGCAGAGAGAACAATCATGGCCCATCCTTGAGAACAGTTAATGTTGATCTCTGAAGGGGTGGGGCCAAGAAAGAGTTAGAGGAATCCAGACAGATGGGAAAGCAAAGTAAGCTCCTTGAGATGCCAAGTTCTTGTTCCCAGAAGACAATTTGAGTTGAACTGGTGGGAAGTCATAGGGTGAGGTAACTAAACAAGGCAAAGAGTGGAATGAAGAAGACACATAGGTCCAAGAAAACCCCTAGCCAAAGTCCAATTAACTGATTAACTTTAAGGACCCTCCTGTTCCAGTGGATAAAGGTCATACTTTTGCTTTCTCCACAGCTCCATCGTCTGTCTTTCTAGGATGTTCTAGTCTTTGTCTATCTCAAGGATGGAGCACAGTACTGCCCTAGATGATCAGCATCCCTGTTATGGATGTTTGTTACTGCACTTCCAAGCACTTCTAGTACCACCTTACTAAAGAGCTGACCTTTCTTTAACAAAATATATAAAATAAAATCTATGCCAAGATTCCATCTTACCCCCCAAATAATGGCTATCATCAAGAAAACAAAAGGCAATGATGTTGGGACAGGATGCAAAATAAACACTTATATATAGTTGATCAGAATATAAATTATATTTATATAAATATAATAAATTTATAAATAAAATAAATTTAATATAAATTATGGAAACCATTAAGAAATTTAGTGTAGCATTTCCTTGCTAAAAATCCCACCAAAATATAAATTACACATAACCCAGCTTTAGTACCCCCATGTTCCCGAAGGAATCACACTCAGTATACAATAAGGATATGTGCACAGCATGCTGTTTTTGTACTATTCGCTTTAACCAAATAATACGATTAGCTCAACTGTCCATCAGTGAGTGCAAAAGAGAAAAATGGGGAGTGAATATGAGTACATATCTGGTATGTGTCTATTCATATGTTATAATAAACAATATTTTATTTAATTAGTACTACTAATAAAAATAAATAGGAACTGGAGAGAAGGCTCAATCCATGAAGTGCCCATCTCACCAGCATGGAGAACTGTGTCCAGATCCCCAGAATACATGTATTATCCAGCATTGCAACCACATCTGCAGCCCTAGCACATTGCCAATCCAGTCTATAGAATTCACTGACAAAGCAGATTGGAATGATGAGCATCATTCAGTGAGAAATTCACAGGCAATTTCTCATGTGTGCCTTTGTGTCTCTGTGTGAGAAAGGGTG